GTTGGTCATGCGGGTGGCAGCCACTCGATGTGTCCCTTTCACGTCACGTCGATGTTTCTCTCTCTCTCTCTCTCTCTCTCTCTCTCTCTCTCTCTCTCTTTCTCTCTCTTCCTCTCTCTCCCTCCCACTCTATCTGTACAAAAAAATGGAAAAATGTCCTCGGGTGAGGATAAAAAATAAAAAATAAATAAAACTGAGCCCAGCCCAGCCAGTGTGGCTCAGTGGACTGAGTGTCGTCCCATAGACTGAAAGGCCCCAGCTCCATTCCCAATCAGGGCACTTGCCCAGGTTGTGGGCTTGATCCCCAGTGGGGACATGCAGGAGGCAGCCAATCGATGTTTTTCACTCACATTGATGTTTCTCTCTCTCTCTCTAAAAAAATCAATAAAAACATATTTAAATTTTTTTTTTTTTGCCCTGGTTTGGCTCAGAAATTAGAGCATCAGCCCACAGACCAAAGAGTCATTGGTTTGATTCCAGTCAAGGGCATGTGCCTCAGTTATGGTTCGGTCCCCAGTCCTGGTTGGGTCGTGAGGAAGGCATCCAGTTGATGTGTCTCTCATGTGGACATTTCTCTCTCTCTCTCTCTCCCCCTCCCTCCCTTCCTCCCACTCTGTCTGAAAATAAATGGAAAATATCCTCGGGTGAGGATTTAAAAAAAAATTCAAATCCCCGGGTGAGGATTAAAAAATCTTTTTTTTTAAATCCTCACCCGAGGACATTTTTCCATTTTTTGTTCAGATAGAGTGGGAGGGAGAGAGAGGAAGAGAGAGAGAAACATCGACGTGACAGGGACACATCAAGTAGCTGCCTCCCGCACGACCCAACCAGGGCTGGGGACAAACCGCAACCGAGGCACATGCCCTTAGTGGGAACCGAACCCGGGTCTCTCTGGACTGCAGGCTGACGCTCTAACTGCTGAGCCAAACCAGCTGGGGCTAAAAAAAAAATTTTTTTTTAACTGAGCCCAAAGTTGTCTTAACAGGTAAAGTGTCCCCTGCCTTCACCCCCAACTCACACACAGACGCCCCCCAGAAAGTGACCCTCCAGGCCCTGTGCCCAGACAGCAGACAGCTGCGAATGTCTATAAGCATTTTCGAGTTTTTAAATAAAGCTTCTTTTCCAAACAAATTATTTGGAGGGTGGAGGGAGAGAAGTCTCATCCCATTACCCACAGACCAGAATTGTGATGTAAGTCCTTTCTGCCACCTTCTCGGCAATATTTTATTTTTATTGAGTTTTCCATGCTATATAATCCAACTCTATAACGACATAACTGCTTTTTCACATTTCCCTTACCATTAAAACCCCCGCATCTCTGCCCCGGCCGGAGGCTCGGTTGGTTGGAGCGTCCTCCCATACGCGAAAAGGTTGCAGGTCTGAGCCCTGGTCAGGGCCTAGACCTAGGCTGTGGGTTTGATCCCCGGTCAGGGTGCATATGGGAGGCAACCAATGATGTTTCTCTCTCACATCGATGTTTCTCTCTCCCTTCCTCTCTAACATCAATTGTAAAATATCCTCCAGTGAGGATTAACAACAACAGAAAGGCCAGAGACCACCAAGTCGAAGAACTGCTCCTGAAGCTGAGACACTCTTCCTAAGAGAGTCCCAGGATGAAAGGACCAAGTCAGGGGCGAGACCGCGCTCGAGATGTTGCACCCACGACAGCCGGCACCCGGGGCTGAGGAGCTCAGGGCCCCAGAGGCAGCCCAGGACCACGTGGGGAGGTGGGGGCAGCCTGGACACACCTACCGCCTCTCTCTCTGAAACAGGAGCAGCACTGGTCCTGAAATGTACGGCTCTGCCGGCGACGCTTGATGGGCTCTGCGGTCATGATGGATTGTGGCTATTTCCCGGGATGGAGCTGGGAGGTGGTTTGAGCTCCCCCAGGAGATGAAGGGCGGGGAGGGGGGGCAGGCCAGAACTGGAAGAAATCCAGTCACACTGAACATGCCGGTAAGAGCACCCGGAGCCCAAGTACATCTGACCCTCAGCTCCGCCGCCCACAGCAGGACGCTCAGCCGACAGCCAGCTGGGTCCTCTGCCCTCGCCGGGTGACCAGACCTGTGGACAGAGGCTGGTCAGCAGCCCAGCTCGGGGCAGACAGGAACGTGGGAAGGATGAGAGACGGGGCAAGAGTCTGGATCACGAGGGACACGGAGAGCAGCAGAGAAGAGTGGCCTGTGTACACAGAGAAGACAGCAGTCTCGTGCCTCAGAGGGACTCCGGGGGCCCAGCACCTTTGCCACCACCTCCCGTCTCTGCCACTGACCCCTCTGCTTCCCGTCTCCTGCCCTGCCCCCATTCTTCACACAGCATGATCTTTTTAAAAAAGAAGCCAGATCAAACCACTCCCTGGTTTAAAGCCCTCCTACAACCTCCCACAGCTCTTAGAATAGTGTCCCAGAAATCCCTACCATAGCTGCCGAAGCCCTAGGCCACCTGCCCTGTTGACCACCCCCCCCCCCCCAATGCTGCCACGTTGCCTTTACATTGGTCCTTTACCTCCAACACACCGACACTGTTCCTACCCCAGGGCCTTTGCACTTGCTGCTCTCCCTACCACAAATCCTCTACTCCCAGCTCCTCAAGTGGCTGGCTCCTCCCCCTCCTTCAGGATTGAGCCCAAACAGCACCAGCTCAGAAGGGCCTTCCCTGACCGCCCTGCTCGAATCACCATGTCCTAGTCACCTACCCCCCATCCTTCAGAGCATGGATCAGCATCTGACATGATCTCACTTCTTTCTTTTTCTCGGTTACTGCCTGTCTCCCTCACAGGAATGAGGACAACACACATCGCTGTGTCCCCAGCACCTACAGCAGTGCCTGGCGCTTAGCAGGTCCAATACCTACCAAGTGGATCTCTTTAGTGTATCTGTCAGATACTCAGCCCCTAGAAGTTGAGACAGCAGCTAACAGGGACCCGGCGCATGGCTGAAGAACTCACCCAGAGGCCCGATTTCCTGTGGACAAAGCTTCAACCCGGAGCCAAGCACTGTGCTGGGCTCCCAATCCCAGTAACACATTTAATCCCAGGCTCCAAGACTAATTCTAGTGTCTACATTTTCCAAACCAGAAAATCAGAGCCAAAGTCTGACAGAGAGTCTTCTCCCTGCATGGCGAATTGATTGATATGAAAAGTCTTGCTAAGAGATTAAAAGCGAACACACACGAGCTGCACGGTTAATGGATGGGCATCAAGAGCATGGTGGTCAGAAAGGGGGGCTCGGAGCCAGGCCCCGCCCCTCACAGCTGAGCAAGTTCCTGCACCCCTCTGTGCACAGTCTCCTCCTTGTTGAATGGCATCAAGAGGGCATGGCCAGCCCGGGCCAGTTAGAGCACCGGCCCAAGGACAGAAGGGTTGTGGGTTCCATTCCCATCAAGGGCATATACCTGGGTTGCAGGTTTGACCCCCTGGTTGGGGTCGTGTGGGAGGCAACCAGTCGATGTGTCTCTCTCACATCAATGTTTCTCTCTCTCTCTGTCTCCTTCCTGTTCGCTCTATCTAAAAATCAATGGGAAAATATCCTCAGGTGAGGATTAACCAAAAAAAAAAAAAGAGGACATGACCACGGTTGACCTAGAGCTGACCCCGGGCTCCTGCCCCCGCCCCGCCCTTGGCATGCACGCCCTGCCCACTGTTCCACGGTGGAAGCTGTTTCCAGGACGCAGCCTGGAGAGAGCCAGGTGTTGCTGAGACCATCTGGACAGTGGCACATGACTGACACCAGCTAAGGCCTCTCCACAAACTTCTAAGGTTCTGGCGGGCAGGGGGCGAGCCACCTGTCTTGCCGCCCAGACGAGCCTGTGAGGCCCCTCGCCCCTTCGGCCTGCCATCTGCCACCGGAGCGTTGGCTCCGATGTCACACACACTGGCAGAGATACGGCTTTTCGCAACTGTGTCAAAGTGTGGGTTTCCAACTACCTCTTCAGCAGCCAGAACACACGGAGCACATGCACCTCGCAGTGCGCCCCAGTATCAGAAAGGTCAGGAGCAGCTCATGTCCCCCAAGCCCATCCCCCCACAGCCACATGGGGGACAGGACCCCCAGTTGGGACACCCTGACTTCACTCTCTGGGATCCGGAGAATATGGACATGGGTGGCAGGCAATGTGGGTGTACCCAGCTCCCCTGGGTTCCTGGGGACAACGCTGAGGTACACGGGACAGGGACGCACACTCCTGGGAATCATGGCACATTCTGGCCACAGCAGGGAGATACTCAGAATGAATGACCTTGACCTCCCCTTAGGCAAAGAGGGCGCAGGCCCGCCCGTGGAGGGCAGGTGGCCATCAACGCCCACGTGGACATCCACACATGCCCCTCATCACCGAGGGCTCCAAGCCGTCACGCTGAGTGACAGCAGGTGAGATGCCACCGGCGGGGGACTGTGAAAACCACACACGACGCACCGATAACGTGTAGGTGCGTAAAAGGCAGGTGCAGAGCACACAGAACGGACGGAAAGAGCGTCCTCCAAACTCGGAAAAGCACTTGCCTCCGGGGGACGCCGTTAAAAGACCCTTCAGCTTTCACCGGCGATGTTTTCTTAGAAAGGAAACGAGAAAGACAGGCCACCTAAGTGACACGATGTCAACGGCTGCTGAATCTGGGGGACAGAAAGGCGCTCTGGGCTCGCCCTGGCCGGTTTGGCTCCGCGGTTAGAGCGTCAACCTGCGGACAGAAGGGTCGCGGGTTCCATTCCGGTCAAGGGCACGTAGCTGGGTTGCAGGTTCGATCCCTGGCCCCAGTGGGAGGGCGATCAATCTATGTGTCCCTCTCAGATCGATGCTTCTCTCTCTCTCCCTCCCTCCCTTCCACTCTCCCTAAAAAAGAAAGGCGCTCTGGGTTCTAGCACCGCGCAGCTCTCTGTATTCCTCGAGTGTTCTCGGGAACAACAAAAAGGGGATGACCGACGCACCCCGGCACTGAGCTCTAGGAGTGCATGTTGACGCTGCGTACGGGGGCACCGCCCCTCCCCCACCCCGCGCCCCCTCACCTGTCCAGGGCAAAGTGCCCGCGACCAGCAGCCCGGTGCAGCTCGCTGCTGTTCTCCAGCCTGGCCAGCGCGTCCATGCGTTTCACCATCAGCTCCAACAGGTCACTCATCTTGCGGAGGACACCTCGGGACTCCAGCCCGCCCATCACTGCGGGGAGAGCGCGGCCAGTCAGGCCAGGCCCCCTGAGGCCAGCTGGCCCCAGGCCAGGGGGGCGCAGACCCCAGCCCCACTCCCCTCGGGAGCGGAGGGGCAGGGAAGGGAGGCTGCCCCACCCGCTAGAGAGCAGGGGGCCAAGCCTGCTCCCACCAGCCCTGTGGCACTGGGATCATCTTTTAACCTCTCTGAGCCTCAGTTCGGTCGCCTACAAAATCGAGCTTCAGCGTGATCTCAGGTCTGTGAGATGACAGAGACGGCCCAAGAGTGGGACAGGGGCCTCCGAGTCCCCGACACCACGCTCCAGACAACTTCTGGATCAGGGCTGTCCACTCGCCCCACACCGGAACCTCCTGGCCAGACTCAGAATCCAGACCCCTGGGCCCTGGTCTACTCTGCCAGTTCCGGTCTCGGGGGCGTGGGCCCAGGGCCCTGCATTGCACTTGCCCCCCACATGGCTCACACGCACAGGAGAGGCTGCTCGTGTCCCTCCCCCAACCCCGCCCCAGACCCCACTTCAGAAAACCTCCATGCATCTGTCCTGACTCTCAAGCTGGTCTCAGGTTCTCAAAGATCAACTCCAAGGCAGAGGGGCCGGGAGACCTCCTGAAGAATAAAATTAAATGAAAGCCCTGGCCGGTTTGGCTCAGCGGTTAGAGCGTCGGCCTGCGGTCCAGAGAGACCCGGGTTCGGTTCCCGCTAAGGGCACGTACCGCGGTTGCAGTTTGTCCCCGGCCCTGGTTGGTCGTGTGGGTGGCAGCCACTCGATGTGTCCCTTTCACGTCGATGTTTCTCTCTCTCTCTCCCTCCCACTCTGTCTGAACAAAAAATGGAAAAATGTTCTCGGGTGAGGATAAAAAAAAAAAAAATTAAATGAAAACGAGGTTCTTCAACCACGATCCCATTAGCCGGCGGGAGACTCCCCGCAATCTCCTGGCAATCATCCCCGTCTCAGCCGGCACACCCCACGCCCATCCTCGCTCCTTTCTCACGAAATCTCACAGATGTTTTAAAAGCCCCTCCACAGGGCACACAGGTGGGCACACAGGTGGGCACACAGGTGCTCAGGCCCCAGCACGGCTCCCTGCGCCCCCAAGGACCAGGCCTGAATCACTCCAAACAAGAGAGCTGAGTCCTCGGACACCCCAATGCTTGCGGAGCTTCCGGGAGGGGCAGGGGGCGCCTTAGGTTGGCTTCCTCAGAAGCAGACTCCAAAACAAAGGTGGTTTCATTGGGTGGTGAGGGAAACCCCGGTTGGGGAGTGGGGAGGTGACACAGGGCAGGGGAGACAGCCCAGAGAGGGTGTGTCACCACTGGGTAACCCAGAGGTGTGGGCCCCCGTGCCGTCCTCCTGCTGGGCCGGGCATGTGCACGCCATCCCCCCAGTCCCTGCTCCTGGGGTGGCAGCAGAGCCCCAGGCGCGGGAGTCGCAAAGGCCCAGCGGAGCGTGAGCACCAACAGTAGCTGCTTCTCAGGAAAGGAAGCCCCACCCCCACCCCGTGGCCAAGGGAGAGCCACCCCACACTCTCCGGCGCAATGTCCCCAACTCAAGGCAACAATACCAGAGCCCAGCTGCAGCTCAATGTCACCGCGCTGGAGGCGCAGGAGAGAGCAGGGCAGGCCCTGGAAACAAGAGGCAGAGTTGGGGGGTGCAGGGAGGGACTGGTTTCCTTTGCTCCAAGCTCGGGGCTGGCTGAGGAGGGGGAGCCCAGGGAGGCTCCCCATCGGGGCTGCTTGTGACTTATTTGCTTTGCTCTTCCCCCAGGTCCCCCAGCCCTGGGCCCAGGTCAGTGGATGTCACCAAGTCACCTGGCTGGGGTCCCCTGCCAGCTGAGCCCGCCTACAGTCGTCGTAAGGGGGGCCAGGGGAGCCCAGGAGGCTCACTCACATGACAGGGCAGTGCCGGCTGGACATCAGATCTGGAGCAGGGAGGAGCCTGTCTCCTTAAAGAGGCAGGGCCCCTGGCTCCCAGGAAAGAAGGGGTGTGAATGGGGAGCAAAGGAGGGAGGGGCCAAGGGCAGGAGAGCAGAGGAAGAGGAGACAGACAGGCAGACACACGCTGACACAGGCTGAGGTTGGGTGTTGACGAAAATGGGTATCAAGTGGACGGGCGTATCGCTTTCCTTCTCTGGGCCTCAGTCTCCCCTCCTGTAAACTGGGGCACAGACGTACTGAGCCCCGAGGTTCTCCAGGCCATGTCTCCCCCTAGTCGCCTACAGAGATGGGGGTGATGGGAAGGAACGGTTCCTGGAGAAGCCGCAGGCTGCCCTTCGCTGAAGCCCTGGTGGGTCACAGCAGACAGTGTCAGCTGCTCGGGGCAATGAGACAAAGAGGAAGCCAGAGCCTCTGCCCGCTCCAGCAGGGACACCGACTCCCCGCTCAGCCTGGCAGAAAGGAGAGGGGACAAGGCGCTGGGCACAGGTGGCAGGGCGGCCAGAGGGACTAAGAGAACCGGAAGCTCCCGCTGCAGGATGAGGGGGGAGGGGCTCTGGAAGGCCAGGGTGCAAAAGGGAATTGTCATCCGCTCGCGTGCTGAGGGGTGACCGAGCCCCTCCTTACCCCCCCCCTGCGTGGCGGACGCTAAGCGGGAACACGGTGCCCTTCCCACTAGGTCGGCATGGGGGACCGAGGAGGCAGGAGGGGGAGGCCGAGCGGGATCGTTCAACAGAAGCAGGAGATCAGAGCGAGAGGTGGCCAGGGGACATAACCTGAGTCCTAGGGGACCTTGGGGTTCTGGACTGCCCTTCTAGGGAGGGATTACGTCCATTCTTTAACATGTCAAGAGAACGAGTGACTCCCGGAGACTGAGGGCTTATGGATGAGCTAAGGAGACAGATCCCCCTCCTGCAGGAGGGTCCCCAAGGCCACCTCCATCAGACTAGACCCAGGGGGCTGCTCCTGTCGTCTGCAGAGGGCGCAGGACCCCAGAAGCTTCTGAGACCTCAGGAGGCAGCCCCCCATCATTTCTGCCCAGGACAAGGCGGGGTGGATCACTGGGAGGGAAGCCACCTGCCCACGTGACTCGCTCGCTGGACACCACCACGGCCGGGCAGGGGCTGCCCCAGAGGGACGTCGCCTGCCCAGAGTCACCTCACCACGCTGGGCGTCCGCTGAATGGAAATGTGTTTAGTGTGAGGCCCCGGTGACACATTGCACAGCTCACACACAGCCGGTCCCTCCGCATTTCCGTGTGAACAGAGCAGGCTGGGAGGCGAGAGGTACAGATGGCTCCTCACAGTGACTGTCAGGGGTGTTTTATTGCCCCCCAAGGCCCAGCCCCTCCCCAGACACAGCTCTTCCGCCATCTCTCCGTCCTCCCTCGTCCTCCCCTGTCCCCACCCCGCCCTCTCCCACTGCCTCCTGGAAACTGAAGGAGCCCCCACCTCAGCAGATAAGACGGACCTCCCTGCGCTGGGCATGAGAGCTGTCTGTGCAGCAGGAGACATGAGCACTTTTGTGTCTGCAAATGGCCACCTAAGAAACCAGCCGAGGCCATGGGGGCTCTGGGCTCCGGGCAGCCAAGGGCCGAGGGCAGGCCACGGCAGAAAGTCGGGACAGACACGTGCAGCTGAGCAAGGACCTCCAGCCTGCAGACCTGCCCCCACCGCCCCAGGTGGCCTCCGACCTCTACCTCTTCAAGGACAGACAGGGAGCTGGGAGCAGCCACACGGGCCCTGGGGACCCGCGCAGCACTGCACAGGAAGCCTGGGCACGTCCCTCCCTAAGGCAGGAGACGGGCGGTGCACGCAGGAGGCGGGGAGGAGGCACTGGGTGGGAAGGGAGCTCACGAGATGCTCGCCCTGGGCCCCAGCCGCAGCAAGAGAGTTAGGGTAGGCCCCTCCGAGTCACGCTTCTCCCTTCAGCCTCCTTCTCCCTGAATCTTGGTGAGTGTGCAGGCTACAGAATGAGGTGTCTGTCCCCTTTGACCCCGGACTAGAGAACTTGATTACAAAATATAAACTGGCCCAGAGGGGAGCCTGGACCTCCCCAGGGAGGCCACAGCACCGAGGCTGCAGGAGGGTCCCCTCTCCTTTTAGAGGATCCTTTTCTCCCCAGCCACAGCTGTGTGGAACCTCACCCCTGCAAGACAGGGCCCCAACCCCTAGGGAGATGAGCAGAAGCACCCATACACCCGCCGTGCACCCCTCGCCACCCAGCCCCTGGCTGCCGTCACTGGGGTCCCTGACCTTCCTGGAGGCCCAGCTTCCTCACGCCCCTTATGGTAGCCACCCAGACAGACATGCCCCTCCCCAGGGGCGGCGTCCAGGTAGCGAGGGCAGCATTCCCTACACCCCCATGATCTCCAGTACCCCCAAGCTTCCCCTCCAGGGCACCTTCCCAACTGGCCCAGCTGCCTCCCAACCTGAGTCCTCAGGCATCTCCCAGTAGACGGCCCGAGGGCACCTCCTGGGCCCTCCCCTTTTCTAGTGTCCCTGTCTCACACTCACACCCCCAGTAAGTGTTTACGGGGCGGTGCTGTGGCCAGAGGCCGCTCCAGGCCCTCCGTCTGCGTCTGCGCTCTCTCAATGCCTCCCCAGGGCAGTCCTGGGCCGGCAGGCATCACTACCAGCTATCAGAGGAGGCTGCCGTCTGCCAGGCAGAGATGGGACACAGAGGGGACAGTAAGTTCCCCAGAGCACCCTGCAAGGTGACAGCCATAAAACAGAGGAGCCAATCGGCTGAGCCCAGGGGTTCGAGAGGGCAGACTTCAGGGAGAGGCTTCCCAGGGGGGCCGGGAAAGCCACAGAGCCAGCCCCTGGGCAGTCCCAGGAACCCCGTTTGCCTCAGTTTCCCCACTACCCTATGTCCCTTTCCCACAACTGACCAGAGAGCCACCGTGACACACCGACTGGACGGAGCGCCGTTCACCCTCCTAGAGCAGGAGGAGGGGAGAGGGCCACCTTCAGGAGGAGGCTGCCGGTCACCACCCCATTGCACCCACCTGCCCTGTGAGCTCATCCAGTCCAACCCCCGGAGATGGTCATTACTTCTTTCTCTGTACGTGAGTTAAGTGACTTGGCCAACAGCACACAGGTGGGAGATGATAAGCCAGGGTACAAACCAGGTCCATCTGTCCCCAAAGCCCACGCTCTGAACCTCTGTGCCACCGCCTTGCAAGTATCTTGTGGGCAAAGAGCCCATGGACAGGCCTGCCATCTGCCCCGGCTGTGGCACAGAATGCAGGGGCCTCGAAGAGACTGGGGTCATATTCAGACCCCCATTCCGCTAGAGAAGCAACACTGGGGCCTGGGAGACCCTGGCTAAGAGCCCTCCTTGGCCTGTGCGCCCAGGCGGGAGGGATCCTAATGACCCAGCCAGGATGAGAGCCAACGCAGCCTGCAAGGTCACCCAGCCCACGCCAAGGGCCCCCACTCACACGTCCACTGACAAGGGAGCCAAGATGCTGGAACGGGGTCCCGGAGAGCCCTCTGCAGTGCTAGGCTCAAAGGCCTCCCTCGCCTCACCCCCAAACACCCGCACCACTTGACCCCCCTTTCCCCAGCGAGCTACCTTCCGCACGGATGGTGAAGGGGGAGTCCCCCAGCCGCCGGGCCGAGAACTGGCCTCCCAGGGACGTCATCAGGAAGCAGAGTGAGAAGAAGCCGATGCCCAGGACAAAGAGCCTGTGGAGAGCAACAGGGGTCAGGGCGGTCAGCGGCACCCCCTCCCGCGTCCAGTGAGGGCTCGTCCCAATGACCGAGTGAAAAGGGGGTGGATGGATGGGAGAATGGAGGTCGGGGGCTGAGCTCCGCCCAGGTTGCCCATCAGCCCAGAAGAAAGTTCCACCACAAGGAACCAGCCGTGCCGCACATACCAGGGAGGACAGCGAGGCCCACCTGGGGCGAGGCTCTCGCCCCGTAGCCGAGGTCCCCCAGACCAGCAGCGTGGCATCGCTCTGGAAATGTCGGAGGTGTGACTTCCTTCCTGAGCCCCACCCCGGGGTTACTGAATCAGACGCTCAGGGGGTGGGGCAAGCACTGTGTTTTCTTTTTTTTTTTTTTTTTTATCCTCACCCGAGGACATTTTTCCATTTTTTGTTCAGGTAGAGTGGGAGGGAGAGAGAGGAACAGAGAGAGAGAGAGAGAAACATCGATGTGAAAGGAACACATCGAGTGGCTGCCACCCTCACGACCCACCAGGGCCGGGGACAAACTGCAACCGACGTACGTGCCCTTACCGGGAACCGAACCCGGGTCTCTCAGGACCGCAGGCCGACGCTCTAACCGCTGAGCCAAACCGGCCAGGGCGCAAGCACTGTGTTTTCACGAGCCCCCAGGCGATGCTGAGACATGCTCAGTTTGAGAACCATTGGTGTAGATGGAAGCAGCAGGACCTGATGCCAGCCCGAGGGCAAGATGAAACCCACCCGGATCCCACCATCACCTCGCCGCAGCAATCAGTCAGGGGTGTGCTCGAACACCTCCTTATCATGTTCAAGGGGTGGAGTGTGCCCCCTGACCCTACCTACTGGATGGTAAGATCGAGAAGGGCAGGGCCATGTGGCCGCCTTCTGTGCCGAGACTCTCCCTAACCCACATCTTCACCAGGCAGGCACAGGCAGGGTGTCAGCCTGTGCCATGGACTGGTCAGTGTGAGTCAACAGCTGCTGTGGGTGTGACAGGTGTGTGCTATCACACAGGTGTGCGCTATCACAGTGGTCGGGAGAGCTTCATTGCTTCAACACACAGTTACTGATTATTTAACAGGGGCCAGGCACTGAAGTAGCCCCAGGGGGACAGTAGGGAACCCACTCTCAAGTCTCCTGCCCCAGACTCCTGCTGCTCCTGTACTGGGTCCTGAGCCCCAAACAGGAGAACTGAGCTCCCCAGCATAGTCTTGGGGTGGCCAGAGGCGGCAGCTGTTCCCGGACTTTAAATCCATCAGAGAACTTGATGAGCTAGCAGAGCTGATCAGGGAGAGGAACCCCATGTCACACAGAGCCAGGCTCACCACGGGAGCCCCACAAGTCATGGCAGAGGCCTCCGGCCCTCCCACCGTCACCCCGCCCTCAAACCCCACATGTTTCTCTCCATGCAGGACTTGCTTTATGCATTTTAATCTTCATTATTTGAAACTGGCAGAGCAGTATTTAATTAAAATCTGGTCCATTAAAGAAAACACATAATTGCAGAAGAAAATAAAAGCACAACAAAATTCCCAACCCATATTTAGAGGAAGCTGTTGGAGATTAAATCAGGGAGGAGGCAGAACCCAAAGCAGAGAGGGAACTGAGAGCTTCCTCCAGGAGACAAAGGGAAGACAGACAAGATGGCACAGGGACACAGCTCCCTCACCTTCCAGGGACCCCTCAGAGTCCCACCAAGCCCGGGGTGGGACTCAGGCCCTGGCATCCCCAAGGTGAAGTCAGGCAGGTCTCAGGACAGCAGCCAGAGGGACAGTGTACCAGGAGATGGTCACACACCCAGGAAGGTCCTGGGGGAACAGACTGTTTGTCTCCCAGCCTGAGGATGAGGATGGACCCCTCAAGTTTCTCGTCCCCAGCCATGGGCTTCTACCTAGAGCTGGGCACCTCAGCTGCCAGGGTCCAAAGACCTGCTTTGAGAAGGTATCTAAGCCTTTCACCCAGGACCTGAAGTCTCCAACACACCCTGTCTGCCTGTCTCTGCCAGACCCCAGTCCTGGGGCCCCTGCAGCCAATCCCTGCAGATTACAAATAGGAGTGAGAGGGCTGGAGGCCCGCCCCCACCCTGCCATCTGAAGGGGACACAGCCTCCACTGGAGGCGGACAGTCTCTTGCCTACGGAGACCCTGAGGTGAGGTCACACAACTTGAGGAGAGGGAAGCCTGTGCAACCCCAGAGCCCGAAAGAACCAGGGCAGGACCCCAGAGGGATGTAGCTGGGGACGCGGGTGCTGTCCGTGGTGCTGGAGTCCTGCGGTGGCTCTAACTGCCCTGGGAAAAGTCTGGCTAAAGCTTGGGTCAGCGGCTGGGCTTCCTGCAGCCTGGACGGCAGGTCAGACACGGGGTGGGTGAGACAGGGTGAGGACCCCCTCCATGGCACGGGAACCTCATGTAGGGGCTCCTGAGTCCCTCCCATTCGCCACCTCAAGGCCCTACCCTCGGAGTTCCCCAGCCCTATGGTCCTCTCGCAACCTGGCAGATGGAGGGGCTAGACGTGCTGGAGAGGCCGGAGCGTCCTGAGCCAAGGTGTCCTTTTGGAGAAGGGAGGGACATCAGCCGGGGTCCTGGGAGGGGCCAGGGACTCTGGTCTGCGTCCTCTAGGGGAGGGACTCAAACTCGACCCCTCCCTCAGCCCAAGCCTTAGGAGCCTCGGAGCCCAGTTTCAGCCCTCTGGGCTCCCTTCCACGCCAGTAGCCTCACCTGTGGCCCAATCCAGAGTTCGGCCTTCCCTGGCCCCTGCGCTCCCTCTTTGCCCTCCATCCCGCACCCCCCCCCTCCGACCTCGCGGGGCACCCTTCACTTGGTGCCTCCTCCCCAACCCCGACTGCAGGCTGGGCTCCGTGGGCTCTTGGGAGAAGAGGGAGCTGCCCGGCACCGCCAGGCTCTGGGAGTCTCTGGGCTGGGACCAGCAGTGCCCAACCGGCCCACACGGCCCCAGCCCTGCCTGGCTTCGGCCGCCCGAAGTTGGGGTAGGGGGATGGTCTGCGCCTCCATCCTGCCTCCAGCTCCCGCCACGTTCCCGGCTTGTCGCCCTTCCGCCCCGCAGCCTCTCCACGCGCGACCAGGGGTCGAATCCCCAGCAGAGGGAGTCCTTGTCCCAATCTCGGGGACCCCGTTTAAAACAGCCCGCACCCCGCCGCGAGAAGGGGCGTAGAGAAGGGGCTGCACAGGAGGAGGGGTGGACGCGCCGCCCCAGGGCACCCTGCTGGGCGACTTCCCGAGCCCAGGACCAGAACCCGGGTGCTTCCTGGCCCCCTTCCCCCTTCGAACCCGGAGTCGGCTCCAAACCAGACGAACTCGGGACACGTCTCAGAATCACACACCCCTCCCCACACGAACCCGAACCCCAGCCCAGCGGCCGTCGCCAGGGGTGGAAGCGCAAACTGCCCCCTCTGCCCCCGGGCGCGCACCCTTGCGGGGACCGACCTCGCGCATCCCTACCCGGCGCCCCTCGGGGGAAAGACCTCCCGTGCAGCCGGGACAGAACTTTACCGAAACGGTCTCAGGGTGACCAGGCATCTTCTGACCATTATCTTCCCATCGGGGTTGACTGTCATCATTGTTCAAACTTGTCTGGGCGACGGGCCACAGCGAGGCCGGGCGCACCGTCCCGGGCCTGTCCCGCCGCGTCCGGCCGAGTCCGCGCGAGGCGGGGCGCGGGGCGCGCGGGGGCCGCGGGGGGCGCGGGGGGCGCGGGGCTCGGCGGCGTCGCTGCTCGGGCCGCGGCCCGCGGGTCGGCGCGGCCTCGGCCGCCGGGGGAGGGGAGCGACGCGGCTGCTGGAGGGGGCGAGGGCGCCCGGCCGGGCCGTCTCTGCGCGTCCGCCCTCCCCGCTTCACATTTTGGGGGCCGGGAGGCGGCGCGCCCCCAGACCGCCGGCCGCGCGTGTGCCTGCTCGGGCTCGCTCGCTGGGCGGGACGGCGCCGCGGCGCGCAGACGGGCTCCCCGCCGCGGGCGCCCTCATGCCCGGGCCCGCGCCCTCGGTGCCGGCTAGCGGGGGCCCCGCGCCCGCGCCCCCGCCCCCCGCGCCTCCGGGCCGCGCCGCTCCCCGGCCTGGCGCCGCGCAGCGCCCATGGCCCTCGGCGAAGGAGCCCTGCGTCCGCTCTGCCGCGGGCTCGCTCGGGCGTCCGCGTCCGGCCCGCGCCGCGCTACGCGGGGAGGCGCCGCATTGTTTCCTCGGGGAAGGCGGTGGAGCCGCGGCTGGGGCGGCTCGGGAGCCGCTGCCCCGCTTTCTCGGCGCGTCGGCGCCACCTGGTGGCGGAGGCCCAGCAGCGCGCTCGCCCGGCTTGGGGCGGGGCGCGGGGGACGCGTGGCCGTGGGTCACCGCGCCTCCCTCCAACCGAACAATTTCACCCGGCTCCACTTTGGGAAGCATCTCCCGCGCTACCAGCCCGGAGGGCAGAGGGCCGAGAGCTTCATGGGTTTCTGCAGAGCACAGAGGAGGTCATCGTTGGGAAAAGACACCCCCGTCTGCCCCGTGCCAGGGCCCTCAGGCCTCGGCCTCTGTCGCCCCGCCCCTGTAGCTTCTGCACCGGCCCCTGCACACCTGCTCTGATTTTGCTTTGCAACCCTCACCCTTCCTCTGCTCTCTGGTCAGAAGCTGCCGCGGCTGCCCTTGGCTTACTGATCTGAGTTCAAGCCCCGCTAGTGACACACAGGTCCTTCCACTGAGCCCAGAAGTGGGGGCACACTCTGAGGGCCTGAGTTCTAGTCTCAGACCCTCCAGTAACCAGTGACGACTGGCTCAAGTCAGGGGGACTTCCCCGCCTTGGTTTCTGTGAAATGAGAGTGACCAGATATTCACTAAGGCCATCCAACTCTATAAAGCATGTAGGTGCCCTCTCCCCACCCCACCCCCACTTCTTCATTTTTGGAGACTGGGAAGCCCCCCTCCCCCCCCCACACACACACATAGGGAAGAGCCCAAGGCCTCAGGCCGTGTGTAAAATGATATGGATGACCCTCAGGGCTTTTCCATCCCAG